TATATATATATATATATATATTTTTTTTTTTTTTTTTTTTTTTTTTTTTTTTTACTAATTTATTTTTTCAAATGAGGTCAGAGGTCAGAATCAGTGTTTATATTGCCAATGGCTTGACACAAATGAAAACTCTTTACATTAACGCTACTGAACACTTGAACACTGAACACTTTGTTGCGCTCATGTAATAATTATAAAAGCACAATACAGTGGATTATAGCAATAATTAATCTTGGTTATTTACTATCTTATTGATTACATTTTAGTATCTTTTTACATCAACAATAATGGATCAGAGCATTAGCAAACATCGTTTTTAGTCACATTACTAGCATCAGTACTAGAGTTCACAAGAAAAATACATTAGTGTTTTGATATACTTTAGTAAAATACTTTAGTAAAATGTATCATACTGTACATATTATAATATTTACAACTGTTTGTTAATGAATGCTCTAGTAGTGTTAACCATAGTGAACTAATACATACTGTAGTACAGTGGTTCTCAAACTTTTTTCTATCAAGTACCACCTTAGAAAAACATTGTCTTTCCAAGTACCACCAAAATGAGCAGGATTGAAATACCGTAGCGTAGTTGGACCAGTAAAGCAGCTAAAACTCTGCACAGTTAAAAAACCTGGCAGATTACCTCAGAAATATACTATATATAATATATAGCATATTATATACATCATTTTTAATAAATTTTGAATTATATGTAGCATGTATATGACATATTTCATTCCTCCGTGTACCACTAGAAGGAAGCCCGCGTACCACTAGTGGTACACGTACCACAGTTTGAGAACCACTGCTGTAGTATATTTTAGTTTTTATTACAGTAAACTGTGATTGTACAGTAAATTGACTAACTCAAGTTAATAAACTGATACTTTCACTATATTAGACTTACCATGGTACTGACTTTTAGTACTGAAATTAAAAACAAAAATGTCCATTGCACATTTAAACACTATTGTGCGCTGTTCTTAAACGCCTCTGATTTGCCATAGTATTCCGGTGCTCAACAGAAATGACTGTGATTGGCCGTGAAGGTAACCAGTTCACTGCCCACAGATGAGTGATACTGATCATCGCATGTTTGCACTCATCTAATTTGAATTTAAAGCGACACTCACCAAAACACTACAATAAGGATCAAAGTCTACAAGGGTCAGTTTCAAAGAGATATAAAACATTATTTGTGTAATGTGAGCTGAAACTTCACACGCACTCTAAGGGCATCGGAAACGTATTTAACATCTTGGATTCAATGGTGAACTCTAGGTTCCCTTTACGGTACAGAATTCTGTTTTCACATAAGCCTTGATCTATTTCACTCTTTGACAAGAAACAAATAATGAAACAAGCAAACAAACTTACTCTTCTCTGCTGTAGCCTTTAGGAATCATCCTGATACAGATAGAGTGACCACATATGCGATCTCGCAGAGGACGGCAACAACACAGACCGAAGATTGTTAAGATCAAAATGGAGGACAGCACTCCAATGATCACAAATGTCACAACCATTGAGTTGATCTGAGAAAAGAATGAACAAAGTAAAACACACACATCAGAGAACATGAGTGCCAAATCTGTGCTGCTCTTCAGAGCTCACTGTGATGAGAGGAATGCATTTCATTTTTATAGAGCTTTTCTCAAACTGTTAATGATAATTAAAATGCAATTTTTGGGTTGCAATTCAAGAAGGAAGCCACTGAATCACAAAAATAAGTAGAAGTTATACTATCAAGAGCTTTCAATATCAAAATCAACATTCTAATCACATGACGCCAATATTTTCTATTTACCTATTTTATGCACATTTTGGAATTTTTGGCACAACAAGATGTGCATACATTTTTCAAAATGCATATACAAACACAATGTAATAAACTTTTTATACAATTAGAAATAAATGCAAATTTTATTTTAGTTGGCTTTTTTATAGAATTTCAAAAGTATAGAAAAATTGGACCAAGAATAAAGGTCCACAGAGACATCTACCTTACAAATCTACATTTTTCTGTCTGATATTTGGCTCCAGTTTGACTCATTGGAAACACTGCTTTATTTACAAGGGTTTTATGTGATATTTCAGTTCTGCGCATAAAGCTAATTCACATTTTTGGATGGAAACATAGCTAATTTAGTTTATACTTCAACAGGTGGAATATGCTGATGATCATATTAACGTACATGTTTACATTAAAAACAATGCAAAAGAAACGTACTGCAATAGGAAAAAAAGTTCTGTGTGCATGACCAACTACTTGTTTTTTTCTTACTTCTGGTGAAGGCCTCCTGGTTTGCACGAGAGCAAATGTGGACAGATGAACACAGGAACACACAGTTTGGATGCCGTTGGTGTTTACCACAGAACAACCATCTACAATCCACTCGCTGATATTCCAGTACACACAGGACAGAGAACCTCTGGGGTCAAACTCCTGCAAGAAGAACAAACAAGCAGAAAATATTATAAATTTTGTGATGGTGGGGTAAAGAGACTTGATGGCGCCAAACAGTCAAAAACACAAACAGCTGATGGAGTATACACTAACCTGCGCATTATTCAGACACTAGATGGTGCCAAACAGCCAAAAACACAAAGCTGACAGGCACTAAAACGGCTGATGGAGTATACATTAACCTGCGCATTATTCAGACACTAGATGGCGCCAAACAGCCAAAAACACAAACAGCTGATGGAGTATACACTAACCTGCGCATTATTCAGACACTAGATGGAGCCAAACAGTCAAAAACACAAACAGCTGATGGAGTATACACTAACCTGCGCATTATTCAGACACTAGATGTCGCCAAACAGCCAAAAACACAAAGCTGACAGACATTAAAACAGCTGATGGAGTATACACTAACCTGCGCATTATTCAGACACTAGATGGCGCCAAACAGTCAAAAACACAAACAGCTGATGGAGTATACACTAACCTGCGCATTATTCAGACACTAGATGGCGCCAAACAGTCAAACACACAAAACTGACAGAAACTAAAAGCGCAATAGAGCATACATTAAACTAGGCATTATTCAGACACAAGATGGTGCCAAACAGTCAAAAATACAAAGCTGACAGAAACAAAAACAGCTGATGGAGTATACACTAACCTGCGCATTATTCAGACACTAGATGGCGCCAAACAGCCAAAAACACAAACAGCTGATGGAGTATACACTAACCTGCGCATTATTCAGACACTAGATGTCGCCAAACAGCCAAAAACACAAAGCTGACAGACATTAAAACAGCTGATGGAGTATACACTAACCTGCGCATTATTCAGACACTAGATGGCGCCAAACAGTCAAAAACACAAACAGCTGATGGAGTATACACTAACCTGCGCATTATTCAGACACTAGATGGAGCCAAACAGTCAAAAACACAAACAGCTGATGGAGTATACACTAACCTGCGCATTATTCAGACACTAGATGGAGCCAAACAGTCAAAAACACAAACAGCTGATGGAGTATACACTAACCTGCACATTATTCAGACACTAGATGGCGCCAAACAGTCAAACACACAAAACTGACAGAAACTAAAAGCGCAATAGAGCATACATTAAACTAGGCATTATTCAGACACAAGATGGCGCCAAACAGTCAAAAATACAAAGCTGACAGAAACAAAAACAGCTGATGGAGTATACACTAACATGCACATTATTCAGACACTAGATGTCACCAAACAGCCAAAAACACAAAGCTGACAGACACTAAAACAGCTGCTGGAGTATACACTTACCTGTGCATTATTCAGACATAAGACACCATAAACAGTCAAAAACCTTGGCATAACAGATGAGCAGATACATATGATATGGAACAAGTATATGAATATGAATGTATTCACTGACATTTCAGTTCCCAGAATAATCTGTCTCATTCAGCAGTTATCTGGAAATAACATACATTAAAATGTCGCAATTGACCAACCAGAAGTGAGTATTCTAGGCAGCCGTGTAATAATTCTCATTACTAACTGTTTGGAGCTGTATCCTTTCTAGCAACAACAGTTCACTAGAGAGTACCTGGCAGCTGGACTACACATCCCATTTTACATTGCACTAATCAACCTGACACAGCTGATCCTGACACTTATTACACACTCAGCTTCAGGACAATAACACACTTATATGAACTCCACTCACATCAGTGATGTCTTGTTAGCAGCATAAAGGATCTCTATTATGTTTGCTGGTGTTTGACCTGTTCCTGTTTTACCACAATGATCTTTAATAAAGCTGAAATTGGATCTAACCCTTGCCGTCACATCTTCCCTACCCAACAGTAAATATCAGATGTTTTCAGATGTTGATTAATACTGATGTTTGTACATAAACACATTTCAGTCTCTCACTCTTATGTGTCTGAACGTGAGATTGACTGGTTTGGTGAGTGCAGTGTCGGTGGTTTTGGGAAGAGTAGCTGAGATCACAGTGGACATCATGGTTTTCATCATGTTATTTTGTGGGTTGAAGAAGTCAGGCTTCAGGAGATTCTCCATTGTGGTGTAGCTCATAAAAGCCACTGCAGCTGATCCTGTAAGAAAGGAATAATATATATATATATATATATATATATATATATATATATAGTTGAAGTCAGAATTATTAGCCCCCCTAATTTTTAGGCCGCTTGTTTATTTTTTCCCCAATTTCTGTTTAACGGAGAGCAATTTTTTTTCACATATTTCTAAACATAATAGTTTTAATAACTCATCTCTAATAACTGATTTATTGTATCTTTTCCATGATGACTGTAAATAATATTTTACTAGATATTTTTCACTTCTATACTGCTTGAAGTGACATTTAAAGGCTTAACTGGGTTAATTAGGTTACCTAGGTAGGTGAGGGTAATTAGGAGAGTTATTGTATAATGATGGTTTGTTATATAGATTATTGAGAAAATATATATCTTAAAGGGGCTAATAATTTTGTCCCTAAAATTGTGTTTAAAAAATTAAAAACTGCTTTTATTCTAGCCAAAATAAAACAAATAAGACTTTCTCCAGAAGAAAAAATATTGTCAGACATACTGTGAAAATTTCCTTGCTCTGGTAAAAACCATTTGAAAAATATTTAAAAAAGAAGAAAAAAAAATTATACAAATATTTATATATACAGTTGAAGTCAGAATTATTAGCCCCCTTTTGAATTAGTTTTTCTTTTTTTTATATTTCCCAAGTGATGTTTAATAGAGCAAGGACATTTTCACAGTATGTCTGATAATATTTTTTCTTCTGGAGAAAGTCTTATTTGTTTAATTTAGCTAGAATAAAAGCAGTTTTTTTCATTTTTTTTTAAAGCTGTTTTATGGACAATATTATTAGCGCCTTTGAGCTAATTTTTTGTTGATAGTCTACAGATACAATACCTTGCCTATTTACCCTAACCTGCCAAGTAAACCTAATTAACCTAGTTAAGCCTTTATATGTCACTTTAAGCTATATAGAAGTGTCTTGAAAATAAAAAGTAAAATATTATTTACTGTCATTATGACAAAGATAAAATAATCAGTTATTAGAGTTGAGTTATTAAACTATTATGTTTAGAAATGTGTTGGAAAAATCTTCTCTCTGTTAAACAGAAATTAAGGAAAAAATGTAACAGAATCTAATAATTTAGGGGGAGGGGAGCAATAATTCTGGCGTCAACTGCATATTTTCACAACAAAATTATTAAAGAAACATTGCAACATTTGTAAACAAATTAGCTAAAAAATCTTTTTGTTTTTGAGGAAAAAAATATTGTATACTGAAACGTTTCAAAAACCATTGTTGTTGTTAGCGATGCCAATGAGATCGATATCCATAGAAGAATCTGTTGTGTTCAGTCGAGGTGTTTCATCTAATGTGACCGATGGCCCAACCATGAAGATTTGTACATCTGATGAAGAACAAAAGCAGTTTAATCAATCATATAATTATCGAATTAATTACTATTGCGACCAAATACAACGTTTATTTAACACTCTTGAGTGTTTTGCAAGACATCTCAACCTAATAATGGACAGATTTGGATGTACTGTCCCCACCTCACCATACAACAACCCCAAAACATTATTAACTCCGAGTGTGGCTCACACAGGTGAGGGGGCTTGACAAACCACCTGCAGAAAACACACTCTTTCATCTCTCTGCCATTTTAACTGATGCTTGCGCCATTTCTAGAACATTTGCACCAGACACACTCTTACAGTCACTCCTAATAAAAAAATATATATAAAAAAACATTGCTCAGTTATGAAGTGTGCCTCACACAGGGGAGTGGGCTTGACAAACCACCTGTGGAAAACACTCTCTTCTCTCTCTCTATGAACCCCTCCTTACTCTAATATTGCCTTTTTTTGTCTTGCTGAATGCCTCCTCAATTGCAAGTTGCTTTGGTCAACAGCTCAACTGCTAAATGACTAAATTTAAAGGTAAAATACTGATCTTAAACATCAACATTAACAACATCTAACATCATTTGCGCTCTTGTTTAAAAATGTGTAGTTCTACAAAATTAAACTGGATGTGACTCAGCACCATTTTAGAGATTACATAAATAAGTAAAAACAGTGTCTCCACTTACCTACTGCATTAAGAGTAAAACTGACACTGGCACTTTTGTCTGTCGGCTTCACCAGGGTAGAAATGAGTTTCTCGCTGGTTTTTAACACAGTGTTTCCATATGAGGCCAGTTCAGTTGGGTCGGCTGATGATGGCGAATCTAAAACCTTCTCTGTAGCGTTGAACACCGCAGTCAAAATGTCGGTCACCGTCTAAAATAGTGACCAGGTAAAAACAGTTACTGTACTGTAATCTATATCTATATAACTGAGCAAATAAAACTTAATATTATAACAAGCATGCATAAAATCTGTATCATGGCATGACTTTAAAGGATTCGGGACAGTCTTATAAACATCACTTCAAGTCCCAGTCTTCTCTGATTTGATTATATTGAATTATATTCCAAGCTTACAGTGAGTGGGAGCTCTGTATTGTCATCAATCTGCTCAAGTAGATTTTTATGACATCCTCCAGAGGTCTGACACTGAAATCACAATTGAGCTTTTTAAATAATTTATTTTAATAATAAACTCAAGTTAATAGTAAATCGATAGTCAATGGCTATGTTTCTATCCAAAAATGGCAATAAAAATTGACAAAAGTGGAATATCACATAAAACATTAATGAATAAAAGCAGCATTTCCATCAAAAAAAAAACAAAAACAAAAAAGACACTTCGGGATAAACTGGCGGCAAATATCAGTCAGAGAAATGTAGTTCCCCTTCAGATGGGGAACTTCAATGCTATCAGTGGATTTATTTAATCCACGAATGGGGATTTCGTTTCATAAAACCAATCGCCTGAAACAGTTTACAACGGGCCAATGAAATGCCAAATGAATTGGCAGCGTAAGCTTGCATACCTGGAGCTTATTGCCAAATAGCTCAGCATACAAGCACAGGGAAAGCAAAGAAACACCTCCCTTTTCACTTCAGAGACTATTACAGCCTTCTGAGAGAGTCGTTGAGGGTTCCTCCTGCTGTGATCCAGCAATTTCGAGTGAACGAGAGCTTTCTCCCGGTCCAGAGTGTGTACACGCAGCGGCAGACGGTCGAGCTGGGTTTCTCCCTTGCCTGGCGTTCTTTGGGACCAGTCCTCCAGAGCGGTGCGTATAAAGTTGCAACTTCACAAAGAGAGCAACACAGTCGTGCAGCACGTCCTTTTCAGGACGGCACTCCGACTGTGCATTTCTGGATGCGGTGGTTTCCTGTACCCGGATGATGGGCACGAGCACTGCGTTGCATGCCTGGGGGGTCCAGCATGTTAATGCAATGCTTGCGGGCAGTTCATGTCGTCATTGCGATGCCATGACTGTTGCGCAGTTAAGATCGCGGCTAGCCTTTGCAAAAGGGCGAACCACCCCAGCTGTCCCTTGCACTGCAGCGGGCACTCGGGCAGATCTGAGGGAGGGAGATCAGTGGGAGATAATTCGCCTCCGGGCCCGCAGACCTCCCGCTCCTCCAAGCGCTCCATCCAAGTTTCGAGCGGAGGAAGTGATCCGTCTAAACAAAGGGTAGCCCGTACGTTCGATGACAACGGGGACCAGACGTCCACTGCTGCATCGGAGGGTGGGCTTTCATTGTCCTACTGGAATCCAGGCCCGCTCGCCCCCCTAGGGCAGGTGAGCACTGTCAAAACTGTCAAAGGGCTCTCTCGGCACGGATACACTGGCCCACAGCTGGCCTCGGGGCATGCGCAAATATGCGTTTCCCCCAGTGAGCCTGCTCGCGCAGTTACTATGCAAGGACAGGGAGGACGAGGAACAGGTTGCCCCTCTGGCCCAACCGGACCTGGATGTCAGAGCTCTCCCTCCTCGCGATGGCCCTCCCCTGGCAGATCCCTTTGCATCCTCTTGGGCGCATGGACGCGGCGCCTCTCTAACAGACATCTGTAGGGCTGTGGGCTGGGCGACACCTAATACATTTGCAAGGTTTTACAATCTGCGAGTAGAGCCGGTTTCCTCAAGGGTATTAGGTAACCCTTGGTGATTGAGGAAACAACTCGGTTAAGGTGTTGAAACACTCTTGCTGTGCCTTTCTCCCTAACACGCATATACGTGCACTTTTTCATCTGTCAGTAAAGTTCTCCGTTAAGTAAGCCCTGCAGATTCCTCCGAGGCCCCCAGGACTGACTCTGCGGAGGAGTCACTTGCTGGCCCATTATGTTGTAGGTCTGCCCGCTGGTCAGCGCGCGTTTTGGGTATAGGTGCCCGCTATGCGTGATCCCCACTAGGCGATCCCATATGCTTATTCAGTCATGGTGCAGTCCCCCCTTAGGGCGGGGGACTTACTTACCGCTAACCATCTTAATATATGCGTACTCCCCCTTCTCAGGGCTAGTCCATATATTTTGCCATCATATCTCCCCATTGGGAAGCAAGTGGCCTCTGCAGCATCCTCCCTATCAGGACTGCACGCTTTCCCAACATACTGTCGTATTTTCCTAGAATTATCTAGACGCTTGCGACTCCCAAAAAATATATAAGTCTCTTCAGCATTAAAGGATGGTGTTTCTTTGCTTTCCCTGTGCTTATATGCAGAGCTAATTGGCAATAAGCTCCAGGTATGCAAGCTTACGCTGCCAACTCATTTGGCATTTCATTGGCCCGTTGTATACTCTTTCAGACGATTGGCTTTCTGAAACGAAATCCCCATTCATGGATTAAATAAATCTACTGATAGCATTTCCGTTCCCCTCCTCGGGGAACGAGGGTTACTTTAGTAACCAGAGCGTTTCCAGCAGAGAAGCCAGTGTGGTGTTTTTCTTCTCTAATAAATGAATTGCACCTCAGAAGACAAAAACGAAATGCAATAATGTAGACACGGTCAAGACGATCTGCTGCTGTTCAAAGCGAGCATCAGAATGGAGAAGAAAGGGGATTTGAGTGACTTTGAACGTGGCATGGTTGTTGCTCCCAGACGGGCTGGTCTTTCAGAAAATGCTGATCTACTGGAATTTTCATGGTAGGGTGAGAATTTGGCATCAGCAACATGAAAGCATGGATCCATCCTGCCTTGTATCAATGGTACAGGCTGGTGGTGTAATGGTGTGGGGATGCTATCATGTCAATATGGAGCAAAATAAATATTTCCAATATCTTGTTGAATCTATGCCATGAAGAATTAAGAGAGTTCTGAAGGCAAAAGGGGGTCCAACCCGGTAGTAGTAGTGAGGTGTACCTAATAAAGTGGCCGGTTAGCGTACATCTAATCTTTAACTGTGAAAATTGAAATCATGTCATGCACACCGATGACATTGAGTTCATTCACTAAATGTTCTAATGGAGTTCATATAGATTTTCTTACTGAATAAAACATTTATCCAATTCAGTTGTGTGCATTTGTTTCGTTATTTGAATTTTCAAAAATGATTGTGCATTAGCCATTTTTTTCAATTCTCCAAAATGTGTCAAAAAAGTTGGTGGATGTAAACATAGCCACTAAGTCAAATGAAATATCATGCTTACCCTGCATTGATCTGCCAGTGAGACATTCAGGAATGAAGATCAGGAAATGTATCAATGCAACATATTAAATGCTAACACAAAGCGTGAGTGCAGAAACATGCTCACCTGTGGTAGTGCAGGTCAGAGAGTTGTTATAAAGCATACAGTCAGAGACTGGGCTGAGCGCACTATTTAAAGCAGTGCCACTGTTGTACGTCTCACAGAAGCAGGAGGACAGAGTGCTTCTATAGCATGTACAGGTGTCACCATTACCAGTGCAATAACAGTTATCACCTGTACACGTGTGTTCGTTTAGGTTTTGATTGATATACTTCTTGAAATCATATGCGCTTGTGTTGCAGAACATGCGGTACTGAGCGCCAGTGCAGACGTATGTGTCGTTATAAAGCTTACAGTCAGAGACTGGACTGACTCCAGCAGGGATGGAGATGTTTTTGCTGTGATCTGTACAGTAGCAGGAGGATGACACGCTAGAGGAGCATGTACAGTTGTCCTTATTACCAATACAGTTACAGTTGTTATTCAAACAGTGGTAATGGTCTCTAAAATAATGGAAGTTATGGACACTTGTGTTGCAGTACATGTGATAGTGAGCACCAGTGCAGATGTAAAGGTCTTTATAAAGCACACAGTCATAGACTGGGCAGACTGCAGTAGTGAGAGCAGCAATATTTCCATATGTCTCACAGAAGCATGAGGACCAAGTGCTACTAAAGCATGTACAGGTGTCCTTATTACTAGTACAGAAACAGTTGTTACCGCTGCAGTACTGCAATTGGTCTTGATGATATCTCTGGTAAAAGAAACCATGTATGCTTGTGTTGCAGAACATGCGGTACTGAGCACCACTGCAGACGTAGGTGTCATTATAAAGCACACAGTCATACACTGGACTGACTCCTGCCAGGATAGAGATGTTAACATTATTCATCTCACAAAAGCAGGACTGAGTGCCACTATAGCATGTACAGGTGTTCATATCGCCAAAACAGTTACAGTTGTTATTCAAACAGTGGTGATGGTATCTACTATAATGGAAATCATGGACACTTGTGTTGCAGTACATGTGATAGTGAGCACCAGTGCACATGTAGGTGTCTTTATAAAGCATACAGTTATAGACTGGACTGATTTCAGTAGTGAGAGCGATGCTTTTTCCATACGTCTCACAGAAACAGGAGGACCAAGTGCTGCTGTAGCATGTACAGGTGTTCTTATTAACAATGCAGTTACAGTCATTACTATTGCACTGGTATTGGTCCTGGTTCTGATATCTCTGATAGGTGATATCATGTGTTGTTGTGTTGCAGTGCATGCGGTACTGAGCACCGGTGCAGAAGAGTTTATCATTATAAAGCCTGCATTGAGTGCCAGACAGTGCATTGACTTTTGTAGGGATTGTGGTGTTGCGATTTGCACAGAAGCAGGAGGACAAACTGCTCTCATAGCATGTACAGGTGTGCTTATCAGCAAAACAGTAACAATCATGACCCATGCACTGTGATTGACCTTTCTGGTAATAGAAATTATGCAGTCTTGTATTGCAGAACATGCGGTACTGAGCACCATTGCAGATGTATGTGTCATTATAAAGCACACACTCATAAACAGGACTGAGTGCTGCAGGGACGGAGATACTAACATTATTCATTTCACAAAAGCAGGAGGACCGAGTGCTGTTATAGCATGTACAGGTGTCTGTATTACCAAAACAGTCACAGTAGTTATTCAAACAGTGGTAATGGGATCTATCATAATGGAAATCATGTACACTTGTGTTGCAGTACATGTGATAGTGAGCACCAGTGCAGACGTACAGGTCATTATAGTGCACACACTCAGAGACTGGACTGACTGCTGTAGTGAGAGTGGTATTGTCGAACGTCTCACAGAAGCAGGATGATGTATTAGAATAACACACACAGGTGTCGTTATTACCAACACAGACACAGTCATTACTCAAGCACTGGTACTGGTGTTGGTTTCTGTGGTAGGAGAAATGATGTTCTGTAGTGTTGCAGTGCATGCGGTGCTGAGCGCCAGTGCAGATGTACAGGTCATTATAAAGCTTACAATCTAACACTGCACTCACTACTGTTCCTGAATCAGCTGCAGTGCTGGATACTAAACCTGAGGATGAAGAAGATGTGGACAAAGTCAGAAAACACATACACAAAGTGAATTTCCAGCATGTTTAGGTCAACGTTTTACACTAGAATGACATGCATTTGTTTTGAGAAGTTTAACTTTTTAATTTGTTGCCGTTTTTGTTAAAATGTAAAAGTTTTTCTTTTTAACATTATATTCATGCATCTGTTTTGGAAGTGAGAATATCTGCTGTGTTAAATTTTACTAATGACCACAGTAAATACTGGTTGTACAACCTTAAATCAGAAAAGGTTTGGACGGTAAGGAAAATGCAAATAAATGAAGAAGGTCTTCCAAAAATTTACTTTGACTTTAGTTTCATTGCAGACAACATGATTGCATGATATTTCAGGTTTTGTGTGGTCAACTTCATTTCAATTGTAAATATACATCCTTTCCTGTCATTCAGATCTGTAACACACTCTAAAAAAAGTTGACAGGATCAGTTTAGGGCTATTAATCAGGTAAATTGGTGAGATAATTTGCAGATTCACTGCACCACATTGAACTGTTTTACTTATTGAGCTGTACATACCCACTGCATATGGACATTTGTAATTATGTACACACCCACTATACATATACACTTGTAATCATGCTTATTTATCTGCATACTACTGATCATTAATAGCAACCTGTACATATAATTATATATTGTAACATACACACTTGTAATCATGTTTATCTATCCCTGTACATATATTCATATATTGTAACATATACACTTGTAATCATGTTTATTTATCTGCACTCTACTGATTATCAATAGCAACCTGCACATATATTCATATATTGTAAATCTGTTCATAGCTTATCCAACCTGTATATAATGTTGATAGTACATCCATCTGTAAGTATCACCATAGTTTTTCTATAACTTCACTTTATAACTTATTCCTGTATCCTGCACTTGCTGCTATTGAACTGCTGGTTAGACCTAAACTGCATTTCATTGCATTGTACTTGTACATGTGTAATGACAATTAAGTTGAATCTAATCTAAAAAAAATAATGATGTGATTTGAAACAGGTGATGTCAAAAGGTGATTGTAATTATGATTTGGTTTAAAAGTAGCATCCTAGAAAGGATAGAGGATCACCAGTTTGCCAAAAAATATGTGAGAAAATGATTGAAATGTTTACAGTGTTGCTCAAAGAAAGATAAAAAGAGATTTGGGATATTTTTTCACCATCAACAGTGTAGAACATCATTAAAAGATTTAGGGAACCTAAAGGAATTACAGTGGGTGCAAGCCTAAGCTAAACAACCGTAATCTCTGATCCCTCAGGCGGCGCTGCATCAAGAATCCTAACTCATCTATAAGCCAAATCACCACATAGACACAGGACTACAGCGGCAAACCTTTGTAAAGTACCACAATTCATAGTTACATCCACAAATGCTAGTTAAAACTATACTGTCCCAAAAGGAAGCCCTATGTTAACAGTGTCCAGAAGCGCTGACAACTTCTCTGGGCTCGGAGGCACCTGGGATAGACCATCACACAGTGGAATCGTGTACTGCGAACTCAGCATTGATCAATATTTCAGGTATTTTTTTGGGAGAAATGTATGCCGTGTGCTCTTGACCAAAGAATAAAAGGATCATCCAGACTGTTTCCTGCAACAAGTCCAAAAGCCAGGGTCTGTCATGGTATGTATGTGTCAGAGCCCTTGGTAAAGGTTACTTGTACTTCTTTAATAACATGAAATTTTGGGACACAACATGTTGCCTTCAAGAAGAAGTCTTTTCCAGGGGTGCCCATGCATATTTCAACAAGACAATGCAAAACCACATTCTGCACATATTACAAAGCACTGGCTGAGAAGGAAGAGGTTACAGGTACTGGACTGGCCTGCCTGCAGTCCCGATCTGTCTCTAATAGACAATGTGTGGCACATTTTGAAGAGCAAAATGCGACGATAGATACCCTGTATTGTTGCCCACCTCAAGACTTGTTTGCAGGAAAAATGGGACAAAATGACACCTGAAACATTTCATCACTTGATGTCTTCACCCCCTAAACATTTTTTAAGTGTTGTGAAAAGACAAAGTGGTAAATGCTTTACTGAGACAACTTTACTTGAAATGTGTGGCAAAACCCACAATTGGAATACGTGTTTATTTTGGAAAATGCGAAACAACAACAACAACAAAAACCCCCAATAAAAATCAGGAGGAACGCATTAATGTTTGCTGTATTGTATTTAAATAAATATTAAAATCACTTCTTTCTCTTTATTAGAATTTTCCACACTGTCCCATTTTTTTCTGATTTGGGGCTGTGTAGACAATAAGTTAATCAGAAGAGAGAGAGAGGGGAAAAAGAAAACAATAAAAAAACTACCGGCTTACACTTACTTAAGTTTAAAGTGATGACAGCCAACAAAGACCAAACAAAACCTGGCATGAAAAAAGCACAATTATTAAACAAAGCTTTCTTTCATAGACATATTATGGCCCTTTTTACAAGACGTAAAATACATTTCTAATTTCTTTAGAGTGTGTTAGTGTAGTTTCAGCTCAAAATACTACACAGATGTTGTTTTATAACTCTGAAACTGAAAGGCTTTGATCCTAATCGTGGTGTTTAGGTGACTGTCGCTTTAAATTCAAATGAGATTGAGCTCTTCTTCAGAGGTGTCACCATAGCGGCAGATTCATTGGTAGACTCCTGTCTGTTCATTTGTGCTTCATCTAAAACTCCACATCTATAATCCTCTTAGTCTATGCTGACATTATCTTCAGCAGCTCAAACACTCTAATGGCTAATGAACAGACGGCTGCTTCTCACTCAGGGCTGCTGTTTATGCTAATGAGGGAGAGATGGGTACTAGTGGGCGGGGCTTTCCCCCTCTGATGACACGTACAAATGGAGAATGTCAATCAAAGTGCTTCTGCAGTCTGTTTTCATGGAGTCTGATTATAAACGATATAATTAATGAATCTTCACCTATAAAGGCTGGATTTACTCACACACTGCTGACACACAACTGTGCTTAAACCCCTTATAAATGTGATTCTGTAACCAGCACATTATATGAACCTACAGCAAAGAAAGACGCCATTTTCATTTATATTTCATATTGAGTGATCATGCTGTCGTCTAGAATAATTTAAAGACACAAGATGGCGCCATTAACCTCTTATGTGTGTGTGTTTACTCTTTCAGGAAATGTTCAAGAGTTAAGAGGCAAGATTTTGTTAAACAAATTATACAGTGGTGGACTTCCTGAAGATGATGGAGTCACGACTAAATGACTTTTAGATGAAACTGTTAATATAAGTGAATAATATTCATATAGATTTAGCCAAAAAGTAATAAATGCCCATATTTACACACCAAAAGCTTAGTCGATTGTCATATTTAATTCTTAATCAGCGCTACAAATTAAAGCAGGAAAAAGACAATACTTTACCCTTAAAAGCAGTGAACATCATTATGTAATCTGGCTCTCCACTGTGTAGAATTTAACAAAGCAGATCAGGCATTGATTTTCTGAAACAAATAAAGAGAGTTTAAAATAAATATAAGCATTGAGGAGGAGAATGATGATTGGGAATGTGGAAACAGCAGAAGGTAAAATCATATCACTACTAATCTCTACAAAAGCAGCATTTAGCATTTAAATCTGTCACTTTCAAGTATTTAAAAAGGCACACACACACACACACACAAACACACACAGGGGCGGACTGGCCATCTGGCAATTCTGGCAAATGCCAGAAGGGCCGGACCAATTTTTAAATGTGGGCCGGTCAGTTTTTTTTTTATATGTATTGTTTTTAAGTGCAGACAACTTTTATCTCTTGCTAGATGTGATATTATGATGATGATAGTAAAAATATTAATAATAATAAATGTTAAGCATTTGGCCCAATCGGCAACTGCCGCCTGGTTTCAAGATGGGCCGACCCAATCGAAGGTTACCCGGACATATTCAAAATCTGGCAATAATGTCATATTATTTCACCATCTTTACACCAAAATAAATACTGAATGTGGGTGGGGCTGTGTCGGTGTGCTAATGTGGGCTAGTGTGGCAACAGTGCCAGGGCTGAATTTTAGTCCCAGTCCGCCCCTGCACACACACACACACACACACACACACACACACACACACACACACACACACACACACACACACAAAAACAGAAGAAAACCTAATTGCAATATTCATAAATTTAGCCAGACAGAAGTATAATAGCTAAAATAAATAATAATAATAATAATAATAATAATAATAATAAATTATTTGAGTTAAACATAAGTTTAATTTGATTATTTAAACTGCTGTCGCATTTTGTAGTAGAAAATTTGTCAATAAGAGGTTTTATTTTGCATAAATGAACAAAAATCAAATGCTGCTATCTTTCAGACATGTTCATAATCATATTTTAGATAATCAATAATAATGTACTATTATAAATAACAGTGATATATTATTTTACACTATTTAAAATGTTTTTAATGTCTTTTTTTGAAGTTAAACATTTTTAGAAGAAAGATTACGTTCCCATAATGCAATTCAAAAAGGAAAATTAAAAACATGAATCCTGAAATACAGAAATCTGCTAACTTACTGACATTTTTTTACAGTAAACATATATATCAAAGATGCGTCTCACCTGATATGAGCTGACATTACACCGAGACAAATCCCGTGACAGTTCTGATGTTGTACTTACAGTATCATCTGCTAAAAATGAGGAAATAATATTTTAATTTCTTGCCTCTTCCAGCTGATATTCAAATGAATATTCAAATGAATAAAAGTATAGAGCAGAAGCAGAACCACAAGCTCATTTTACATAAAGCGGAATTACACAAACACCTGGATGGAATAAGAGGAAATCATGTGCCTAATGCAGAAATACACACAACACAGAACCCGAGCCTATGATCAATCCTAAATATGAAATATGAAAAACAGCCATATGGTTGGATATAGCTTTTCTTTATGTATGAAGTAGCATATGCTGCAGACTGCTGAATAAAAACACACACACAATACACATAGGTACTGTCATAAAAGCAGACACAAGCTGGTCTATTCAGGGATCCACAATATGTAAACAATCCTGTGATGATTTGTACCTTGTATTTTCAGTATTATCTGCTCATCGAATGAGGAAATATATTTGTTTCTCTTTTCCAGCTAACATTCAAATTAATATTCAAATAAATACATAAGAAATCACACGCAGAGCGGTTTACAACAACATACCAAACAACAACAGGAAAACTCCCATCACATTTTATTTATTTAATAAATTATTTATTTACATATATTTATTTATTTGAACAGTTTTTGTGTATAATTTTTTTTTAAATGTATAAAAAGCACAAATGCAGTTACACCTAGTTATTATATTTGACTCAAAAATAGATCATAAAATGCGACTGTAAAAAAACAACTAAAGCATCTTTAATGGCAGATATTGTTCTCTGATCCCGAATTTAAAGAAAGAGCTCCATGACATGTTAAATATGTAAAATGGTGGATCCCGAAGGCCAGAAATGACTTAAGAACAGATTTTCAGTACATCATTGATTCTGTTTATTGTGTAAATGTGTGTAAATTTATATTTATTCAGTTTTTAAATACAATTTCAGTGATGTTATTGACTAATATGAAAATATTTGTATGGTTTGTTTACAGTACAGTTTGTACAGTAATACTTTCTGTCTTTTAGTATATATTACATGACAGACTTGCTTTGTTGACCAAATAAAGTGGATCTAAATGTCACGTTGCAGTGCTCTCTTTTGGACACTTGAGGGCACTAGCATGTTTAGTAGTTCAACCCAATGACTGTAAAAAATATGGACGACGCGACAGCCCTTTTTCCCATTGAACGCCTTGAGGGCAAAACGCCTGCTTGACGGGCACAAACTGTCGCAAAAGACTGCTGAAATTGGAGCCAGACATGCGCAGAAGGATTGTCTGATGGAGCCAGAGGAGGAGCCGCGAAAATGAGCAGAGTCGAGCTTCCAATCAAACGCTTTATGTAAAATCAACTACGCCCCCCGAACTTCTCAGCATGCGTTTGCTGTCATATCAACACAAATGGATGTAATAACGTTAACAAATATGAGGGTTTTATATATTCAATCGCGCCAGCTCCGGGCCGCAGCGCATAACTTACTCGCGGCGTCGCGGGCTGATTCCGGCTCACATGCGGCAGCACCTGCTCGCTCGGCCGCCGCATCTGGCTCGATTGACTCGGACTGGAATCGGGCAGTGAGTCCAGGCATCCGGAGTAGGTCCAGCAGAGGTAACATTAGTCAGTCTGAGCTCTAAGAGATAAGTCTCCGGCAGGCGAGAATCTAGCCGGAACTGTGTTTTGCTATCTGGGTGGCTAGGCGTGTATCAGCAATCTAATAAAGCCCGAAAAAAGCCCTGAACTTAGCGAATAAACAGTGTTCCACCAGGATCATGTATGTCAGAAACTATAGTTTACTGCTGAACTCATTTTGTCATGGTAAAATAACACAGAAATCGAATAATAACATTTCAGTCTACTTCAGTCTCCTGCCGAAGCTCAAACGCCGCGCTTTGAGAAACTGTCAATCACAGCTGTCAATCACGATGACACGCCCAACATTAAATTACTGCTAAAAACAAACTGTTTACAAAAATGAAGATCTGCACCTATTTCAGCACAATAACCAGTGCCTTAATCGACCAGAACTATCTTTCGGGACGTTTTATTGCAAGTGTAATATTTTTTTTTATTTGGGCTCAAGTCTCCTTCATTAACACGGAGGAGGCGGGCTTTATGACTTGTACTGCAGCCAGCCCCCAGGGGGCGATCTAACGGCCGAGACCTTCACTCAAACGCAGGCTTGCGGCACACTTGGTTCAACCTTATTTCCTATACTCCTTTGCACTTCTGCCGTCAGAAGCAATTCTTATATTACACTCTGTAAACATACACTTTACATTAAAAATGCAATAAATAGGTAAAATGTTCAGAGTAACCATTAGAATAAATAAGTAATGTATATTTGTTGTTAATGCATGTTAATTCAAGTTAAGTCTTTTAACTAAAACTATAAAGGGGAGGGGGAACCTTTTCTTGTTATGTTTAGCTTGGGAATCATTTCATTGTTGCAATCAAGATATTTTTCCGTTGCACCACAAGTAGTAGAGCAGCGGTTCCCAACCTGGGGTCCGCGCCCCCCTAAGGGGGGCGCCAGAGTTCACAGGGGGGGCGCGGGAGAGGATAAGTATTGAGGTAGAAAAAGGCATAAAAATGGTCCACTATTATAAAAGGCTTTGCAATTAATCGAAAATCTGATTTAGATTTCGGTTTCAAACGATTATAAAAAGCATTAATCGAGATAAATGATTATTGCATCATATTTTGCCACAGTTGTACACGTGTTGCTCTTAAAAGCGCGAAAGAGCTTATGTGTGTGTGCAGCACGATCATGCAGTCAGTAGTATGCGGGCGGTCAGCATTCACTCTCATTCGCACACTGAGACGAGCAGAGGAGCGCAGACATCTAAAGTCATCTTAACGTGAACGCTTTAATGGTCAAATAGGTGTCAAAACGCGGTGTTTAGTGATTATTTACATTAACCCTCATTTGTGTAATAAACAAACGAGTTGAGGATCAAAAGACGTGAAAGAGAAACCATTAAAGATACAGCGCGCTATAATCCTTCTGCCGCCTGTTTTTATTATTATTAAACAAACATAACGAGAAAACCCTCGCTGCTCTTGACTGAAGGACTGCTGTAGCTAAAGTGTTTTTCTTACAGTGAAGATGCTTAAAGCACAGTTTGTTTCATATTTTTATTCTATTGTATTTATTTCTCTTTCCTTTGCAGGGTGGAAAATAACTGTATGTATACAGTTGAAGTCAGAATTATTAGACCTCTTGAAAATTAGCAAACCTTTTCCTGCCCAATTTCTGTTTCATGGAAATAATATTTTATTAACTTATTTCTGAACATAATAGTTTTGATATCTCATTTCTAATTACTGATTTCTTTTTGTCTTAGCTATAATGACAGCACATAATATTTTACTAGATATTTTTCAAAATACAAGCATTCAGATTAAAGTGCAGTTCAAAGGCTTAATTAGAGTAATAAGGCAAGTCATTATAACGGTAGTTTATTCTGCAGACAATCAAAACTATATATTGCTTAAGGGGGCTAATAATATTGACCTTAAAATACTGTTAAAATTCCTTGCTCTGTTAAACATAATTTGGCAAATATTTATAAAAAAAAAATCTCAGGAGCGCTAATAATTTTGACTTTAACTGGCAATGGTTTTGAATAATCGTGATTACAATTATGACCAAAATAATCGTGATTATGATTTTTCCCAAAATCGAGCAGCCCAAAAAAAAAAAAATAATGTAAACACATGCTTAAAATTCCAACATAATAGTGAAAATAATTAAAATAAATAACTTTAAATAATTATTTAAATTTTGCTCACTCGGGCAATCTGCTTGTCAACGTGTCATAAAGGCAAAATCAAAACAAAAATGGCAGACAAACGTAAATGCTGTGATTCTTCAGAGGCGAAGATTAGACAGTATGACAAAGCCTACCTAAATTTTGGTTTTATTGAAGGCCAAGACAAGTTAAAACTGATTAATTAATATTTTCTATACATATTACTATATATTAATATTACACAAACACACACACACACACACACACACACACACACACACACACACACACACATATATATATATATATATATATATATATATATATATATATATATATATATATACACACAGTACATATGTGTGTGCGTGCGTGCGTGTTTATTTATATGGTGGGGGGGCTCCAATGTTTGTATATGTTTATGGGGGGGGCCCCAAAGAAAAAGGTTGGGAACCACTGTAGTAGAGCCACAAGGTGCAGTGCTAATAGGGTATATGCCGAGCTAGTGCTGTTTCCATGCTGATAAACTTCTGGTGACCTGTTATTGTTAGTTTTTTCCCCATTTTAAACGATACCTTTTACAGCATCGATGTTGTAATGTAGTTAAAATACAATCAGTTAAATAGACTCTGGCATTCATTTAGTTGCTCAAGCGCAAAACGAGGAAAAAAGCCGTTTACACGCAGGCGCCCCTCAGAATCGGCAGACTAGCACAGAAGCTCCATTGAATATACTGGGGTAAAATAAATGCTCATATTTTAAAGATATGGCGGGGGAAATGTAATTTAATGCAGGGCTTCTTGTACAATCTGAGACCCACTTTATATCGGACATCACTCAGCCAGTGGAGATCGCTGATTTTTAAAGAAAACAGACCTTAAACGCGCCGTTTTTGCAATGGTAAACAGTTCACAGGAAGCGCTTAACCCAGGTTACTGGCAAATTAAAAGTCCTATTAGTATGCTTCGGTATATACCCCATAACACGTTTTTAAGGATTAAGAAGTGCAAAAAAGTTTGTTTAAGAGAAACTGCAACCCTTTAAGTTTATTCCTCTTGAGTTAAAGAGGCCAATGAGGTATGTGTCGTACAGTGTTTACAGATGTGACATGTATGATTATCTGTCCGTATGTTAATGTATAACTAGCCAGGTAGGTGTATTTCTTTACATGTTGAATATGCACTTTATCTTTTGGTTGTATGTTGTTCATTACATGCAACACCACCTTTAAAGGCTTAATTTAAGTTTATGTATTTCTTTCC